AAATCATGTCACTTACTGTTCTCAAACTTACAGGAAAGAAACATGGGACTAAAATACAGCTTCAGTAGGCAATGCAGTCTGTTTGGTATTTTTATTTATTTATTTATTTATTTTGGCAGTTAAACAGTTTTTTGTGAAAATTTAATTTTTCACATATTGGCATTTTCAAGGTGTGACTTTAAAGTTCCATGATCTTGAAGACTTTTGCTTGTCACATTTTCTGAATGTCCATGTTACTAATATTTTATTAATAACATTTGATTGTCATTATGCTGTTAAACATTATGTAATGTTGCATCAAAATTTGAAGAAACCCCTATTTTGGGCACTGCTCCTATGATGACCATTTAAGGGAAATCATGTCACTTACTGTTCTCAAACTTACAGGAAAGAAACATGGGTCTAACATACAGCTTCAATTGACAACACAGTCTGTTTGGTAAATTTTTCTGGCAATTTAACAGTTTTTTGTGAAAATTTAATTTTTCACTTATTTGCATCTTTATTTTCTGTTCTTTGTCTGTACATTTGACAGCTTTGCTGCCTTGTTTGGTTATGATTTGATTTTGTTATTAAATTTTCTTTATTATTATAGGAGCAAGAGATGGAAAAACAGCAGCTTTTGTTTGAACAGTCACGCCTTGCTGACCGTGCAGCCGCAGAGATGATGCTTCTTTACATCAGTGCTAGTAGAGGTATGGAATAGACAGGGTCTACTGTCAAAAAAAGACTTAAGACTTACTTAAGTTTTGGACACAAAATTTTGTTTTTGTACAATTTTGTGCACTACATGACCTATAGATTTGTACTAAATTGTGCAATTATATAACATAGATTTTGCATAGAACACACAATACAGTAATATAATGAAAGAACACATACAGCAGTATAATTTTGTTATCATAGATAAAAAAGTCTTGAAGAATTTTAAGTGATCAATTTAAATCTGTTGCTTTTGTCTTCCAGGTGCTTGGACAGATATGGTAATAAACACTATTGATCTAGGCATCTCCTTGCTCCGTGGAGGTAATGAAGAAATTCAGTCGGTAAGTCAGCTCTCAGCATTCTGGTTGTAATATGTGTGTATTTTCATGATTGTCAGATTATTTTTACAGGTTTTTACTGGTGTACATATTTTATAAAGTGAGTTTTTCTTTAAATAATCTTCCAAGGTTTTTATTTTTATCCCAAAATGCATGGGTGTTTCAAACATCTGGACAAAATTTTAAAATGTCATCAATTCTTTGGAGCAGTATTTTGTTATTATCCCCAACACCAGCTGCAGCATAAACTTTCAGTTGGTTTTTATATCTATACATAGCGTATGCTGACACATCTGAGAGAAAAGAAAGATGTCGGATTCTTCACCTCTATTGCTGGAATGATGCAGAGATGTAGGTAAGGAACTTTTTTATATATGATTTATAATAATTTATATATAATTTATATATAATTTATGGTTTTTAACATATTATTTAAACAAATATTTTTTCTTCTTTTTTTGGGGGGGAGGGGGGTGTAAAAGTGGCTCAGAGATAATAAATGATCTTTTCTTTCTGCAGTGTATTGGACCTGGATGCATTTGAGAGGAACAATAAGGCTGAGAGCCTGGGTGTTGGCAGTGAGGGGGCAGCAGGTGTCAAGAATCTCCATGATGCTGAGCAGACGTGTAAACTATTCCGTTTCTTGCAGTTACTGTGTGAAGGGCACAACCTTGGTAGGTTAGAAAGATGTACACAAGCTGTACCACACTGGGACCAGTTTCATGAAACTTTTTAGAAAAAAATGTGTCTTCTTTGTTCTGAGATCAATCTTTTGTTAAACATGCCCTTATAACTAAGAGTTATTACTTCTTAAGTGAAAAAACTAGTTTATAATTCAATACAAAATCAACGTTTTGAACATGGTTAATAAATGGCACAAATAGGTCTTTTCTCTTCAGTCAAATGGGAAAATGAGTCATGTATCTGTGCAAATATATTCTACCCTCATTCTAGCATAGTAAATTTAGCCAAATGCTCAGCCTTCTTTAATTTGGCCAGAGAAAACTGAAAAATGTCACAGTTTTTCCCCAATTTATTCACTGACTTATTTCAAATTTGGCTAAAATCATTGCACTAGCTCAGGTATTATTATGCAGATATTAGCCTCTATTTGGTATCTTTGTGAAAGGTACACAGTTTAAATTTCTGATTGCAGAGTTCCAGAACTACCTGAGAACACAGGCTGGGAACAATACAACAGTCAACATCATCATCTGCACTGTGGATTATCTACTTAGATTACAGGTATTACAGAATATCTGGACAAAGCTTTGAATATTATTTAGCACACCTGGATAATATTATAAGGGAATTTGCATGGTAACAGATCAATAATTTTATACAGGAATATCATATTTTGATGTCATTGTTTGTTGTGACAGGGTATATGTAACACTGAAAGTCTGCATAAGCTAAAGCGTTCCTTTTAATGCATATATTGATTTGTTTGCTGTTAGGTCATACATGTAGCTTATTAAAAAAATGCTGGAACCAGGTAAGAATTGTGTATAAATATATGCTGGAACCAGAAAAATTGTCATTTTCTTAAAGATTTTAATTGATTCAGGAAACAAATAAGGTCTGCCTCTAACAAATTCAGGTACTACTTTTCTAACAAGATCTAATTAAACATTGTTAACATTGTTATAAATTTCCAAAAATTTATCTGAGGTTGGTAAGTGTGTACTGCATATTCTACAGGAATCAATTATGGACTTCTACTGGCACTACTCGGGTAAAGATGTCATTGATCCAGCTGGCAAGGACAACTTTGTCCGCGCCATCAAGGTGGCCAAGCAAGTGTTCAGGACACTCACTGAGTATATACAGGTGAGTGGGGCAGACCTTGAAGCTTCTTATTTATAAATCTGCTTCTATAGATACTTTATTATTATTATTACTTCTCTTTACTTTTGATACTATTACTTTTCAGTTTAAAATAATCCTTTAGAATTTAGTTTGTATTTTAATAGTTTGTTTGTATTTTAATTTTCAATACGTGCCTTTTTAATTTATTTTTGGTAGTAAGAATAGTGTTAAAAACTTAAATATGCTTCATACTAAATTTTTCATACTCAGAAGTGCTAGAGAAAATTCTGAATTAACTCTCAAGCTGGAACTTAAGTCTGTGTTATCAAAAGTAGTTGAAGACTCAAATCAAGATGTATAACTATTATTGTGTCAGTGTTTGCTTTTCAACCAAAATTGTATTAAAATACACAAAGAAAATTGCCTAGCTATGACCAGTGAAACCTATTTGTGTAATATAATAGGAATGTGTGTTTGTGTGTGTGTGTGTGTGTGTGGGGGGGGGGGGGGTATTAGTACAACTAAAATAGTGTTTATTGAATTATCTCTGTTTTGTACACAGTTTACATTATCGCTAAATAAAAATTATAAAAAAAATGTCTGCAGAATATGTTTATGGATTTTTGGCTAAAAATAAATAAATAAATGAATTATTATTATTATTATTATTATTATTATTATTATTATTATTATTATTATTATTATTATCAGGGTCCCTGCTCACAGAATCAGCTGGCCTTGGCACACAGTAGATTGTGGGATGCAGTTGGAGGATTCCTCTATATCTTTGCTCACATGCAGGATAAGTTGTCCAAGGTAACATTTGATCTTCATAAACAGTTGGAAATTAGGAAGAAAGGACACATTAGGTTTTCTATAAGAAATTAACATGTAATTATACATTTATACAGTCTAAGGAGCAAATATTGGTGATAATTTTTTTAAAAGTCATTTCTGGCTGTAATTAAAAACCCCCCACCTGTTTGGTTTTATACTTAGTAGTAATAACTTTGTAAAAAATAAAACCAAAATTTGGAATAAATGTGGAAATTGTAGTTTTGAGTAGGTATGTTGATTTTTAATGGTTTTTCAGAGCTAAAATTTCACTTTATTTTCTTCAGGATCCAGAACAACTTGAACTCCTCAGAGAATTTATGAAACTACAAAAAGATATGATGATTATGTTGCTATCCATGTTGGAAGGTACTTTGGTCCATTCTTTTCAATTTCAAGTATTGCTATTTAATTATTGTCTATTTGAGGTCATGAGATGGTTTTTTTCACCTGTAGTCTAATGATTTGGTTTTTTCTTGGCAATATTTCAATTAAAAATCATTATAGATTAATGAATAAAAGTGATTTATTTAGAAAAAGAGTGTAGCAAATCATCTTTAACACTGTGTGTCATTCATTGATATATTGGAGATTTGAATTGATAGATGGAGGAGAAATAAATGTGTACTTTCTCTCACCAGGGAATGTCATGAATGGACCCATTGGAAAACAGATGGTGGACACTTTAGTGGAGTCGTCTGCCAACGTTGAGGTGAATGATGGGAACTTCAGCAGTTACGCACACTATAATGGGGTTTCTTTAGGGTGATAAATTTAGGCCAAGTGCATATACTTTTTTTTGCTAGAGACTGTGTGATATTTCACCAATTTTTTTTTTTTGTTTTGTTTTGCTTTTGAGGTGGGGAGGTAAATTCATCAATGATGAAATAATTGCCTTTGATTTGGCTTAAATAAAGCAAATCATTCAAGCAATTTGACCAAAAGAAATTTTATGATGGAGTGAATCAAGGTACGGGCTTAGGCTGTAACCTTACTGTAATTGAGATATCCACCTAAATTGTTACATCAGCAATTTTATAGGAAGAACAATGTCTAAGCAACTTGTGTCAAGTATCTTATTTTTCAAATGCCATGGGAATTTTCTATTGTATACTTTTGATTTAAGATAAATGCATGTTCTTATTGTATCATGTTCTTTTTTTAGATGATCCTCAAGTTTTTTGATATATTCTTAAAAATGAAGGATATGACAACTTCAGAGGCTTTCTTGGTAAGAAAAATGCAGTTCTTTTTTATTTGATTATTTAAGTTTTATTGAAATCTAGATTTTTTTAATGTTTGTACAAGGTGTAAATAACTGGAATATTTTTTATTAGCTGTTTGTATTTATTTGAAAAATATATCCATATAATTTAGTGGTTTTTTAACGAAATACACTTTTACAGTGTGTTTCACAGCAATATCATAATAACTTAAAGTTAATTTTTGAAATGAGTGTTGATGCATGTGAAAAGTTATTCCATTTTGTTTTCAGAAATTATTTTTCTTTAAGTGACCATTGTTACATTGTGGTTAACAGCTTCAGTATTCCATTTTTTCAATTGGTTTTAATTGAAGTTATAAATTTTAAAATTTCTTGCAACATACCCCATGTTATGAATGTATCCCAGTCTTTCCCATATTTTTCCTCAGTTTTCAGAATGGCTATAAGAAATTTGACATATATTTTCATTAAATGCATTACATATTATATGTATATATGGAACTACACATCTGTATTATTTAATGACTCACTGGTCTTTAAAGTGCTAGAAAATACTTTTATATATTATACCAAAAGAAAGATGTCAGCTTTGAATGTTCACTTCAAATTTCAATTTTTCTATCAATTCATTGTAAATATTTTAAATCAAATTTTGTAATTATTTATTTATTTGTTGTAATTCACAATACTTGTGGCATTTGTGCTATGAGTTTTTAAAGAGCAAGCATATAGGTTGCACATTAGAAACACCCTGTTCTTTGTTTGGATTTCGGGATTTTCACGTGTGGGTTCTGAATGAAACTGTTGTATGAAACCTATAATGAGCACATAAGGTTTTTTCATTGATGAAGCACTATTTTCTACTAACTCTGTTCCTGTGTGTTATTTGTGATTGGCATATTTCAGGCAGCAGACAAAAATGGTGATGGAGTTTTGTCACCAAGAGAATTTCGTGACAATATGGTGTCACAGAAAATGTACAAACGGTGTGTAACTTGTACCAGTACCTTGAAGAGTATTATATATTTTTCCTGTTACTATTTTATAAATACTTTATGCTTTCTTATTTAGGCATGTTTGGTATCTTGATCAGTTTGTTTTGAGAGCTCTGCTTGACTTTGCATAGTCTGTACTGATATGTTTGAAGTGGTCATTCTTCAGGCTGTTATTGCATGAATGCATACTTGAGAAAATTGAGATATTTCATATTTATCTTATCTACTCTGCTTTCAGGTATATACTGCTTTGAAGTGGTCTTCTTTGCATATTTTGTTTCAGCTCTTCAATTATCTTGGCCTAATCTTAGCAGTGAATGATACGTAAGGGCATGTTCAAGCTGAAAGGAACTGTATATGTATATACTATCATCATCAAAAATAAAAAAGGCCCATTTACATATTGTAGAAAACACCAAAATATAATTAATTGGTAAATCTTGACTGTTTCTTCCAGTCAAAATTGAAAATGTTTCAAAATTTATAGTTTTATTATTATTATTTTCTTAAATTGTAATTCTGGTATTAGCTTGAACAGTTCCCCGAGCTTCTACTAACTGCAATCCTCGCACATCTAATCACTTCTTTGTGACATTCACACATGAAATAAATAATCTTGCATCTTACTAGGAATTTGATACAAACAAAGATGGATGGATATCTTGCAAAGAATTCCGTCGAGCTATGCTGGATCAAAAGATGTATAAAAGGTTTGTCTTGCAGTAGGCACGGGTTGATGGTAGGGTTCAGGGCAATTTCAACCCATGAAATTCTTTCATTGCAGTTTGAGATGGAAATGCAGTTTGAGGTGTTGTTTGGTTTATCTATTAGATCTATCTTTTTTCCTCTCCACATTTTTTTAGCAAAATTTGTTTTAATTTTTAATCTTTTTTATTTAAAAGCTGTGATTTTGTAACATGCAATAATTGCACCATTCTGAGACTGAAGTGAAAGATTTTCATAATAAATCTGTCTTCTCTGCAATCACTGCTGGACATCTAAAGTTAGTCTTATCTTTAAGACCACTGACCAATTTTTTTTTTCTAAATTATTGTTTACGTTGATTTGGCAGTTCACTGAAATAAGTTGCCTTTGGTATAAAAAATTCTTTTTCTTTCCTTTTATGTATCAGGCATAATATTTAAGCTAAATGGATGTCACTACAACTCATTTATTTTGGATCAATATTGAGTAAAAGTGGTGGTCTTAAAGTCGAGACCAATTTTGTGTCTCAAGTTTTTATTCTGAAACTGATCCTTGCTACAGAGTAAAGAGCTGCAGACGGAGCATGAGAGTGAAATCATCCAATGCTACTGCTGCCATCTACTGGTATATATCAGCGCTGCTTTTCTATGAGTCTTACGTGTCCATAGTCAAAGGGCTTGAAATGTGCTAGCTTTCACAGCTATTGACCTGCTACAGTAGTACCCTGTAGCTATAACTACCTGATGCCTTAAGTACTGTATCTGTTCTTATCGTCCATATCTTCACAGGAGTTTGATACAAATAAAGATGGAGTTGTGTCACCCAAAGAGCTTCGCCATGCAATGGAGGCACATAAAATCTACTCTTCGTAAGCTAGCTGTTGCATGGTGTACCATACCCTGTATCAGATTGGTTGTGCTCCCTCAGTAGTGCTACTGTAGCCAATTGGAAACTAGTTGTTTGAAAGCCTGAATATTGTTGGTTTGCAGTCCCACTGTTCCCTTGGATCACATAGTTGCATTAGTCGTTGGTTATTAGATACATGTGGTGCCCTGACACTTCCCCCCTCCCCATCCAAAAACCCACAGTTTTTGGATTTTTTTAATTTTCAGGACTTGATATCACTGGGGATTGAATTGACAAACCTGATCATGTAATTGTAGAGCCCCTCTACCCCCTTTAAAAATGCTGTTAATATGTCCATGTTGATTACCTAGGTAAAGATGTGTGTGGCCTGTCTTTATTAACTGTGATAGTGCCCTCTCTCTCCATGGAATATTTTTCTTCACTATCTTGATTATAATTCTAGTCATGAAGATTAAGGCAAATTGCAAGTGTTAATTATTCAAAAGGTTATTGTGTATTTTTTTCAAGTTGTCCTTATTTTTTCTTTTGGAAGACAGTTTTTTGCTTGGTGATTTATTTATTTATATATTTATTTATTTTTGTTTGAAGTGTACCACCAGCTTGCTAAGCTGGAGGCATTCTGCAGTTACATGATTTACGTGCTCTCAGAGTTTTTTTTTTTTTGTTGTTGTTGTTCTTTAATATATTACATTTTTATTTTCATTGTCTTCTTCCAATGGGTCTCACAGTATTTCACAATGGTTTACCTTGAATGACTGACACTGGTGTCTTTTTCCCTACTTTAAAACTAATCCAGCTGGTAGTGCATACAAAGTGAGATGTGTCCATGGCATCTCTGATCCTCTGATTTATTTTGTGTGATTTAGTTTTTACATGTTCACAAAGAATACCTCCTCTGTTAATTGTCAACAGATTATGGTTGTTTTGTCCAGTAGATGATGTCCTCAGGTTGTTGTATATTGTACGGGTAGTGCACTAAAATCTGTCTGCACTTGTAATGTTTTTAAAGTGCTGTTTATTTTGTGTTGACTGTACCTCATGTTGTCTGACGTCATATACATTTGGTGCCAGGTATATGTGTCCTTTAATTGCAAATTAATTAGAGGAAAGCTGTTACAAAGTTTTTGGTGTAAGAATCAATAAGAAGGGGGAACCGTACATGCACTAAGGTATATTACAGCTGCTCAACAACATATAAACCTAATTCTGCAGCTAAAAGCTCTTACATGCAACAAAGCCACTAAACAATGTTCTCACACTTGCATAACAATTAAAACAGTTTCTTAGTCTGTAATCAATGCTCTTGTAGTTGCCTTCATGTTCTTTGTGTAGAAAAATTGTTGTAACCTTTCGTGATATTTTTGTTCTGTCTGTTGCCAGTGGTATATATATATCTATCATACTTTTTATATACCCATTATTTTATTTATTTACATGCAGTTAAGTGATCTACAGTCATTTTTACAACTTACTTGAAGCACTATACCATAATAAAATCTAATGGAGCCTGTATAGATAATTTTTTTCTTCAGATATGGCTATATGTTAATTGTTTTTAAAGTGGGTTTCCTTATTTAGACAGTCACATATTACAGATAGGTACAGCTTCATACACAAATTAAAAAATTAATTAAATTAAAATGCAATAACAATCAGAATTAATACATGCAATTTTTGATTTGATTGTCAGCACTGCATCTCCACAGTCTACTAGTTTTTTCCTAATTTTCTTATTTCCCACAAATTCTAGCGAGGAGATAGACTACATCATGATGTGTGTGGACACCAATCAGGACGGCAAAGTGGATTTCATGGAGTTCACTGACCGTTTCCACAATCCAGCCAAAGACATCGGCTTCAATGTAGCCGTCCTGTTGACCAACCTTTCAGAGCACATGCCAAGTGAGCCAAGGTGAGCTTATTTATCATACATGTGACTGTATCAGTTCAGCTTGTATAAAGGTTCTTTATCCTTGAATTGTCATAATTAAGACTTTATATGACTTTGTGGTTGATGCCATTTCCTAGATTTTTATACTGTAAGGTGGCTGACATAATGGATGTTTGCCCCATTAGCAAGACTTTGTCAGTACAATCATATATATATATATATATATATATATATATATATATATATATATATATATATATATATATATATATATATGAAGGTGGTTAAGGGATTGATTCATGGCCAGGGTAGATATACACATGAAGTTAACATCTTTTTGATGCTGTTCTATTTGAAGTAAAAAAAATTAAGTGTAGAAATAGAAAATAACCATCAGAATCTATCAGAGTGAAGATACCTGGACTAAATTGGTGTCTTTTTCACACTTACATTTTGATGGTGATTTAAATCATGTGCCCTTAAACCATGCAGGGAAAAACTTATTTTTACATATAACTGTATCATGAGCTTCCAACAACCCAGATATAAATGAGTTTTAGCACTATTTAAGAAGAACAAAAATTATTTTCATATGTATTTTGTGTGATTACTGAGTCATACTATTTGAACATATTCTCAGGTTGGCCAGATTGATGGAGAGAGCCAAACCAGTTCTGGATTACTTTGGCATGTATCTGGGCAGGATTGAGATTCTGGGCAGCAGTGGCAGAATTGAGAGAGTCTACTTTGAAATAAAACAGTCTCATATAGACCAGTGGGAGAAGCCACAGATTAAGGTAGAATATTTTTATAATTATTTAAAAAAATTAAAACGTTTTGTTTTCCCTTGACTTCAATGCAAACAACCGCTTCCTTTTCATGTCTATTAACTGATTTAAAGAGCTTAAGTTTTTTTCTTTGGGATTTTGATCTTCAAAAACATCACTTGCTAATCATTTAAACAGAAATTAACTCTTTTTCTTCTGTAGGATTAGGTAAAATTTTGTATGTTTATATATATATATATACATAATTACACTGTATTTGTCCAGGAATCCAAGCGTTCTTTCCTGCACAGTGTGGTCAATGAGGGAGGTGACAAAGAGAAGCTAGAGTCCTTTGTTAACTTTTGTGAGGACACCATTTTTGAGGTAATCAAACTTGCAACAAGATATGCTGTCATGGATCCAATATGATAGATTTTAGAATGAATTTACAGCTAATCAGATTTTCTATTGAAGCCATCTGTAGAATTGCTACAACATTGGTTTTTGATGCTTTTATTTGACAAGCATTCTGTTTAAAATGTTGGTTTTGCCCCATTCCGTCCATTAACCTGTAAAGTTCCACTTTTTCTTGGAAGCATATTTTAAGTGATTGTTATCAAGGTTGCCAACTCATGCATCGATCTATATATATATAATCTAGGAAGTTTTAGTATCAGGTGTCATAAAGGTGTCATATTAAAATTATTATTGATATAATATATGTATTTTGATTTCTGTTGTGCTGTCAATCCTGTATTTTTACCTGCAAGTCTTATATCCCATAACATTATTTGAACTCTCAGATGCAACATGCCACTAGTATCAGTGCAGAAGAACAGATGGCGCAAATGGCAACAGCGGCAGCACTGAGGAAGGAAGCTGGGTTGCCTGAGGAACAGGGGGCTGTGTAAGTGATGTGGCATGTTAACTTATCAAACTACATGTAATACTAGTCTGGAACATTAACCACCGATCCAATACAATTGACTTAATCAATAGTAGATTTGGTGTCTGCCTAATGAAAATATTTGTTTAAAGTTATCACGTGTTTTGCTATAAAGTGACATTTTAAGATTTCTTAAAAATTAATATTATCAGTTATAGGTATAGATTTATATATTACTGGTAATTACATGAGAAAAATGACAATAATTAAAAGTGGAGTATTGAAGAGTCTTACTATTCTATAGTACCCGTTTAGAAAAAATATATCAAGTTGAAATATACACTTTTTTTCTGTCAATTACAGGGCTATAAATGCTGTGAAAACTGGCTTCTCAATGCTGAAGGATGGCATTTTACTCTTCCTGTCCTTCTTCTCTTGGGCTAATATCAAACATGGTTATCAAACAGTGAAAGGGATGACATTTTCAGAGATGTTATTAGCCCTGATGAAGCTTGGTGCCAAGGCTGTCTTGGCAATAATGACACTCATGTTCCACATTGTGTGGTGAGTTATTGTTTATAGTTTTAATTATTTAAAAATAAACAAATTTTATATTTAGGTTTACCATCATGTGCATGTGGTTAATGATACATGTATAATAAATTTTATGTATAGACCTACATGTAAAACAGAATTAATGAAATGATACATTTATATAAATAAGTACAAAATGTTACGATTTTAGTGATAACATTTAAATCATTTTAGAGATTTCAATTAAGCTTCTATATGAATGCCAATCATTAATTAAGTAATGACTATTGTATCAGACATTCAGTAATTCAAATTGATTATAGGATGCTAGGGAAGTGGGTGATAGCGATGATGATGGGTGACCAAGGTGGCGATCTGCCCTCCAAGGACGTATCCCATAAGGCCCTGCCCTACGCCAGCCCGCTGGCACTGGAAGGAGAGAAGGCCAGACCAGGTCCAGGAAAACAGCTGGGAAGAGAAGCAGAAATGGCGGGAGAAGACCCTGAGCAGTACAGGGTGTTTGGGCTGGATATCCACAGGGAAGAGACAGATGTTGGAGTCGAGTAAGGGAGTTTGCACATTTTTGTTCCAATCTAGCACTGAAAAATATTCTGTGAAGGAAAATAACTCTGAGTTTAAAAAATCTTTAAGATTTTTTTATGATTATGAAATCTATTGAAAGATTATTGAACTAAGTAAGATCATATTTATCTTAAAAAACGGAATGTGTTTTTTAAATTTTTGAGATATTATCATTATTTATATATTTTGTGCTTTCTGGTGCTGAAAATTATTATTTAAAAAAAGCCATCTCACTGAGGCAGCACCTTAAGAACAGGAAAAGGCAGGACCAATGCCTCTTATGTATCTCTCACACATATTCTCTATTGTAGATATTCTCTGTCCGCTAGCCAGCGCCACCTGGCTCAGACCACCCCAGAGTCCAGTCTGGATATGAGTGAGGGAGAGATGGCTGACCACCTGCAGCCCAAGCAGAACGGGATCCACGCTGGGGAACCTGCTTATGGAGGCACACATGGTGACCAGTATGATGCCTTCCACCAGAAGAAACCACCACATGATGCTCCAGCAGGGTACAGTTACAGTTATAATATGATACAAGATAATATTCTTATACAGATATGCTTTTAAACTACATCAATATATATATACTTATTTGAAGGAAGTTGTGTCAGTAGGGTCTCCAAATGATTGAGGGAAAATGTAGAATAATCGCATGGTAATTTTTATATTATATTATATTATATTATATTATATTATATTATATTATATCAGTGGTGAACATGCCAGTGGTGAAGATGTGACTGACAAACGGAAGCAAGCAAAAGACGATGAGCTGCCATACGAGATCAAAGGAACAGAATATGGCAACTTTGTTCTTGTAAGTAGAACAGTTGGTTTTGATGCACATTATAAAGATTTCACCCTTCACATTGCTTAATGCATAAAAAGAAATATGTTCATTTCAAATGCCTGATAGTCTACTTTTCCACTTCTATTAATACAATGATTTACTGTTATTTGTGTGTGTAGGTATTCTGCCATGATTTTAACTATTTGATCATTATTTCTTTCAGGGTTGGTTTGCAAGAAATTTCTACAATTTCAAGTTTGCTGCCCTGGTGCTGGCCTTCATCATCAACTTTGTGCTGTTGTTTTATCAGGTGATTATTTTTTGTTATCTAATTATTTCATGGGCTTCATTTAAGCTCTTAATTTCATCATAATACCAAAGTGAATATTTTGGAATTGACCAGTTATTCTCTTGAAACACTTCAGCTGCCTTAATCCTATGTGATGAGTTTCTTGGGCAAGTAAGGGGTTGGAGCTTTGAATAGGTTGGAAAGTGTCCAAATTTTCTAATCTGAGTAGTGAATTAGAAGTCATTAATTCATTATTCTTGACTGTCAAATTCTGGAGGTTAATTTCCCACTGGTATAAGTTGTTGAGAGAAAATGTGCATACTTTATAAATCCATACTTGGACTTAAAATCTCTGTCATTATGATTGTTATGACTAGGTGTCTTTTTTACAGGGACTTCTGGTTGACTTAAAAGAAAATAGTTGCTAAAACCTGATATATATTTTAGTGCTCTAGAAACAGACAGATATTTTTCTTTCCTCATTGGGTCTACAAGCTACTGTTTCATGGGATCCTTTCAGCGGAATACATGAATTTATTCATACAAAGCAAAGCATCAACTAGATGTAACATTTATCACTCAAATCTGATACCCAAAAGTTTTGAAAGGATAAAAATTAAAAGTTATTTTTCTTACTAGGTGGTGAAGGTGCCTATTGCTGGTGAGGATGTTGGTAATGATATGGCCGAGGCAGCTGTGAATGCTACAGAGGGAGAGGAGGGAGGAGAAGAACCCAGTGAGGAGGAGTTTGAGGAGTGGATCACTATGGCCAGCACTCTGTACTATTTGCTGCCTGTGGTCCAGTTGTGTGCACTGGCTCATACCATTGTGTCCTTCTCCATTGCTATTGCATACTACTGCTTAAAGGTAATACTTGGTCACAGAATTGCCATTAGTTGTACCCTGTAATATCTGATGCTATTGCATACTACTGCTTAAAGGTAATACTTGGTGCACAGATGTTGAATTGCCATTAGACATACTCTGTACTATATAATTGTGTCCAGTACGGGCTCATATAAGAAGTAAATCAGGGATTCCCTTGTCATTTTCTTACCCATCAAATTCTCATGCAGGGTTATATTTAAATAATGAAATGGGTATTGTTGATCAAACCTGATGGCTTTTAGTGTAAAAAAAACATATGAAATATTTTTTTCTTCTCTTGTTGTATGCATACTACCATTGCATTAATGTGATAGCTTCTTCGGTCAACAGAGAGAATCAGTTTTTGTATTCCAATAATTGAACATAACAAAGTAAGGTAATTTGCAGAAGTACATATCATTTTGTATACATAGTACTGACCAATGTAATTTTGCAGGTACCACTAGTTATCTTCAAACGTGAAAAAGAGATTGCTCGCAAGTTGGAATTTGAAGGCATGTGGATAGCAGAACAACCCAGTGAGGATGACATCAAGAGCCACTGGGATAAACTGGTGTTAAGCACAGCCTCCTTTCCAGAGAGCTACTGGGACAAGTTCGTGAAGAAGAAGGTACCTTGCTCGTTTTTAGTTGAGAAAAAGACTCCATTGGTTTTTACTTTTAATTGAATTTTTTATTAACAAAAAAATTTCTGCATGAATGAAAAATTGTGTTATTAATGCTAATTTGTAAGTTTCTGACTGTAAGATGAATTGGGAGAGAGAAACTGAATAGCTGGCACAATTTTTTTACCTGTACTGGTAAAGAAGTTTAGTTAGATAAAATTTTGTCTATTGTAAAAAAAATGTGGGCAAAATGTTTTTAGATAACTTAAGTAATGAGAAAAAATATTCTTATTTGTACAACTTTCATGTTTCATAGGTCCGCAATAAGTACTGTGAACAGTTTGACTTTGACGAGATCAGCAACCTGCTGGGGATGGAGAAAGGCTCCACAATTCCTGGCAAAGATGCTCACCAGGAGCAGCCCAAGTCCCGCTTCCTGCCACATTTTCTACAAGGTGTTGACTGGCAGTATCACATTTGGAAGTGGGGGGTCATTTTTACTGACAATGTAAGATTTGTTCTGCTGGTATCTAATATGATCTTAAAAATAATACTATGTGTATGTTTAAACCACAGTGTTTGCCACATACAATAAGGTAATAAAGTATAAGCATATAGAATGCCCATTTATCCACTAACAGATATGTCATAGTGCAGCTTTAATTCTGTGATGTTATAAGTTAAAAATACAATTTAGTTTACAGAATAACATTTTGTAGTACAAACATATTTATGGTATTTATTAAAATACAATTTAGTTTACAGAATAACATTTTGTAGTACAAACATATTTATGGTATTTATTATTTATTTCCAACTTTGATATGACAAATGTTTCCCTGATAGAGATCCACTAACATTTGGCCATTTTATTATTTTCCAGTCTTTCTTATATCTGCTGTGTTTCTGCCTGTTCTCCGTCCTTGGGAATTTTAACTATTTCTTCTTTGCCGCCCATCTGTTGGATTTAGCCATTGGCATTAAGGCCCTCAGCACCATCCTGCAGTCAGTAACTCACAATGGAAAGCAGGTAGGGACCTTGACTGCAAGCTGTTTGAATATTTTTTTAGGATATTTTAATGCAGAGCCACTGTTTACTCTTTATTTGCTGAAACTTAGCTATTTGCCCTTTACTTTTGTTCGAAAAGTATAAAGTAACAAGAAAAATGTCTTATCAGCATATACATGTACTTCAAACACAGCATGATTGATGAATACTAGCATGGTCAGTTCAAGTCAATTGAATTTTTGCCAATATACAACCCCAAATGAAGTTTGAGCTTAACCAATTGGCAATGCAATTAAAATCTGGATAATGGAAAATGGCACCATTAAATATTTAATTAATCAGAAGCAAGCATACAGTGATACATTTATTTCCAGTTGGTGCTCACGGTGATGTTGACTATCGTGGTTGTGTATGTGTATACTGTGATAGCTTTCAACTTCTTCCGTCAATTCTACGCGAAAGAAGAAGATGGAGAAAAGGATTACAAGTGTCAGGACATGTTGACGGTAAGTTTAGGTTTGGTTGAGACTGCCTGCTGTACAGTGAAATGAGTTTCATTTTACTTGAATAAAGATTTTTTGTGTGAAAAACATAAATCTTCTGAAGGATTAAATCTCATTTTGTTTCTTCGTTATTAATTTATCAAATTTTCATGTGAAATTAAAGAATAATGTATTAAATTTTTTAGGGACATCTGAAAATACTTATTTACAATTTCTGCACTCAAGTTAAAGACCTGAAATGGTAAATTTTTGTTCTATGCCAGTGATGAAAAAAAATACAGCTTGGCATATTTCATAATTATCTGTATCTTTTTCAGTGTTTCATCTTCCACTTGTATGTGGGGGTCCGTGCTGGGGGTGGCATTGGTAAGTACAGATAATATTACATATCATTTGATTTTTGTTTACAAAAATTCTTTTGACATTTGTTGAGATGTTCAAGACATAAATCATGTCTTTAGAGTACTGCCAAAAGGTGTTTGCTGGTGGTACATATGCAGGAGTCACTCCTATATGTCTGAGTCCAGTATTCCTGGTATTATTAACTATCCTGTCCTTGTTGCAGGTGATGAGATCGAGGCCCCAGATGGCGACCCATACGAAGTGTACCGTATCCTGTTTGACATCACTTTCTTCTTCTTTGTTATTGTCATTCTGCTGGCTATCATGCAGGGTAGGTTCAGTGCAGAGCATACCACATTAGAAAAAGTACCATTTAGTCAATAGCTCGGTGTTTTTACCAAATCAGAAAATCGGCAGTTACTCGATGATAAATCATTGGTAAAATCATGGAAATATATTTTTTTGTCAAAATGGAGTATATCTAACATTTAACTAAAATTTGTCAGTGTAGTTTGTTAGCTATTTGGTTTGTTTAATAAAATGATAGTTTTCATAAGCAAGTATTATTATTGAGCACAACACAAGTTAATTTTTTTTCTTAAAATGTTAAATAATTAACATGATCTTGCACTAATTTCAGGTTTGATCATTGATGCCTTTGGTGAGTTGAGAGACCAGTTGGAACAGGTCAAGGAAGATATGGAGGTACGTAAGCACTGGTGATTGTATCAGGAGCAGATCCATAGATATTTTCTGATTGTCTTTCAAGTTATCTTAGTTGAGTCATCCTGCATTTTTGACCATCTTCCGACATATGATACATGTCAATGTAAACTTGAAAGTCTTCCGGAAGACCCAGAAGATGGCCTCCATCCCCCCCCCTCCCCCCCTGTATATTGCATGTGTAGGATGCTCAAGGCCAAACTGTGAGGAGGAATGCAATAGAAATACCTTTAATTTTGAGTTAAATTATGCAGAAAATTACATTTTTGTGATACATAGATGCCTAATTCACATTACCATAAAAATACATTACAGACAGCCAGGCTATTTGAAAAAGTAAGGTAAGGGAAAAATTGAATACTATTAAAGTGCAAGACCCCTTGAAAAAATATATAAGCATAATTCATAAATGAGTTAAACTTCTCCTTCCAGTCCAAGTGCTTCATATGTGGGATTGGTAAAGAATACTTTGACAAGGTGCCCCATGGTTTTGAACAGCATGTCATGAATGAGCATAACTTTGCCAACTATATGTGAGTAAATTCTTTGTCTTTTACTTTTATCATAAGTTATCTTTAGTTTGTGTTTGATAATTGTAAGTTACATGTAGTTAACCAATTTATCAAACATATTGTATCTTTTTCTCATTTTAATATTTCATGGTGTTTTTTTGCAGTTAAAAAACTTTCATGGCAATACAATTTCCTTCTTATACTTGGTGTTTTTAAATTATTTAAATACAATTTGGTTTGACTTGATCTAAAATGACAGTGACATGATTTCTCCTTACAGGTTCTTCTTGATGCACTTGATCAATAAACCTGATACAGAATACACTGGCCAGGTGGGGTTGTAGTGGCAGAATAGGGTCTTTTATGGAAATCTTTACATATATATATATAAATATATTTATACACACAGTTTTAAGTTGAAAAGGCTAGAGCGAATCTGTGAGCTGATTAATTAAGGGGATAATAACTCTTCGTATGAGATCTATATTTCACAATAAAAACCTTGTGAATAACTCATAGAAATATAATATATTCTGTTTTACCACAAAAACAGCAGTTATAGCTTTTATTCTGATATCTGAGCTTGTCTTTAGACCACGTGACCTCCACTGATGTCTATACTCTGTTAAAATCTCTTAAGAGATTTTAACAAAAAACCAAACTTTTTAGAAAAAAACCAGGGACTAATTTTGAATGTAAAAATGGATTCATTAACCATTGGTAAGTATGGGAAAATTGTTGTTTACTCCAGGAAAATTCCTTTTTTGGCCGAAACAAAGAGTTATTATTGCTTTAAACAAAGTGAGAGAGAGAGAGAGAGAAATGAAATTACAATGGCTTGTAGAAAAGAATACAGTTAGGCTATAACATGGTTTTGTTGTTATATATAAGAAATGGCTTTCAAAATAGTTATAATTATTATTATTATTATTATTATTATTATTATTATTATTATTATTATAGGAGTCCTATGTGTGGGAGCTGTATAACCAGAGATGTTGGGACTTCTTCCCTGTTGGTGACTGCTTCAGGAAACAGTACGAGGATGAACCCCAAGGAAGCTGATGAAAAACAAAAATTTATTGAGATTGATAAGTTTTTAGACATATGGGCATATCAGTCTTGAGGATGAAACAAGTTTCCTCATATTGATGGATTTTGATTTGTAATATGCATCTTTCACATTGTCACAAGCACTTGACATGTGATTGGGGCAACTAAAAATTTTGTTTTTACAGTCATCACAGAAATTCAAGGATATCAACACATGCAGGCGTGAACTTGGACCCAAGAGGGATTAAAAAACGAAAAAAAAAAGAGCAAGACTTTAGCACATTAAACAGTTCAATGTCAATTATCATGTATGGATTAACATTTTAGCATTACATGAGCTGTCTAGAAAAGTGATGATCCCTGCAATTTAATGAAGTGCAATGGTGTATAGAAGCAACATTTTGATTGATGTGTGTAGCCTTGTTATTGACTTTGTTCAGACTGAAACCAGTCTACCATTTCTACTTGGATTTCTAGAATTGTGTAGGTGCTGGACAATGCTCATTTCCTTCTTCTAGTGACGGCGATGATGATCCAAGCTAATTTTAAAGTGATGAAAATTACTATTGGAACATTTATTTAATTTGAATTCGAAAAGCAGAGGGAAAAGTGAAGTTTACTCACATACATTTTTTTTTGTTATCAGATGCATGTAATATGCATATGACTCCCTAGCATATTACTAGACCTGAGATTGTGAAAACTTTCCCTTTATTAACTGAATAATTAAATATCACCCTAAGAGTAGATTTTAAAAAACTTATTTTCAAGTTTAGGTTATGAACTGGAGATGTTTTGCTTTAGTTCCTGTTGCCCGTCACAAGTTTCTTATAGACATTTGCAGTGATCTTTTACAAGTATTTATTTTATATAAAGCGCACTGTGAGAGAATGATGTAGACTTGTGATACACATTTTACGCATTGTATTTATAACCAGTATACAATGATGTAGGGTTACATGTAATGACAGAAAAACTATAGCTAATTATTGTCACAAGTTCTTTTTTTATAGTTTGCAGTTTGTAAAGAGAAGTAGACATTTCATTTTTTTTCTAATTAACTTTCTGTAGACATGATACGAATCTCTACCAAGCTGTTCCGGAAAGTCCAGCTATTCCAGGGGGTTGCAATACTTTGTACATAACTGAATGGTCATTTTAACAGTGGTTGAATTGTTTGTGCTCGGCCATTGGTGCTCCAATAATGTTTGCCTCTTTCTTTTTTGGCAGTTTTCTCCTCTCATTTAAATATAGAACTCACAAAGACAGGGTTGTTTGATGCTGCACATTCTGTACATTTTATCTTTGTTGTTCTGCTCATATAATTAGTATTATAGCAATGTCTTCCAAATTTGCTCCACCCAACGAAAAATTAATTGTACAGACTTTTATCTTGGAATTGTCTTCACTTAACAAGTGGCCCTGTTAAAGTGTGAGGCAACCCAAGATGACTGGTCTTGGTAGTTTTATGTCATTGGGACTGTTTTTTGCTTATTGAAAAAAAAAATTTGGTAATAAAATGACTAATTTTTGACACAATTCTGCTTGGTTTCAATTCACTGCTCTGTACTTCAGGTAGCAGTTGCACCGACAGGACATAATTAACGCCATCACAGTTACGCCAGAGTTACTCCATCGTAAAAACTTGTTTTAGTCTAAACTCAGTCATGAATATACATGTACTACACAGGTAGTCTATGTCACATTTTCCAAAATGGCTTTGCTGGTACATAGAGGTGGAGGAAAATTATCAACAAGCCTAGACAGGAAAGGGTCGTCATACAGAGGGTTAGGCTTTTTAATATTTATGACGATGTCAAGCCAATACAAATGCGTTAGAATGAATCTCTGCATGATGCCAGAGAACTATTTGTTGACAAATTTTATTTATTATCATTATTTTTGTGTTATCATTATTTTTGCTCCAATCACAGTGCAAGGTCCACAAAACAGAGGGGCTGCCTTATTTTCTCAAAGTTAAAAACACTGAGATAACAGCATATATACTATTTGTGGTGGTGACATATTGGTCACCTGCTTTTCACATTTTTTTAAGTTAAGGGAATTGTGAAATAATCTACGCAAAAATAAGGGCATTCATGCTCAGCACCTGGGCTATACACATTTTGGGCACACTTGAGACAAAAAAGAGAAGTTACTTTGTGCACATTTTTTAGTGCACTTCTCATATTCAGATACAAAAAAGAGAAATTGGTTATTACTCGCCTACCTACTCAAATGTGCTTCCAGTTTGGGAATTCACTCCCTCCCTTAAAATATTCTTTCATTTAGAGACCACATTTGTTAACAAATTGAAAGACAAATACCACAAGTTTATTGCATTTCTTTACAGTTATGCTCACACTCAACTCCCTAATGTTTGCAGTGTACCTTGAAGCAAAGACCCTAATTGTCCAGTTAAATGTAGAATTTAGCAATTCATTGATTCATTGAAAGATAATTGTGCAAGATGGCATCGGTTGCCAACACTTTCTAGACATTTATTTCTGGAATTTGAAAAAGAGGAATTTCACCAAAGGCCAAAGCTTAAATTATGTGTATGTATCTAGTTATCACAAACTCAACACAAAAACAATGAGGATGCAATTAAAAAGTATGGGCTGCAATGAATGATTTCCAAGTCCAACTAAGCATTTAATGTACGTGATCTTGTAAGATCAGTAGCTAGTGGTTGGCAACCAGTACGTGGTGAAGATAAACATATTGGCTAAAAATTTCCTTTCTTATATTTGAAAACATAAACAGCTTGAAAGAAGAAACATATCAGTCGTTTCTCAAGTTGAAGTATTATTGGGCATGATTGTTTTGTTCAAGATGGTCTGTCTCATTGTTCGTTGCACCAGGTACTGGGCACGTTTCCCCACTGTGCCTGGATCACAGCCACTTTAAAAGAACAGTTCAACGATATGACTTCTCTAAGCACTTGGCCCTAACAGCTTCTTCTGTAATCTCAGAGGAATCACTTGCTTGAATATAAACCTTGATTCCATCAAGTTTAGCCTTTATAGCTTCTTTGCTAGATGCATATAACATCTTCTGTTTAACTTTGATACCATCTGGAACCCTAGAAAAAAATTACAAACCAATTGAAATATTTGTAGAAAAATAATGAAAGTAAAAACATTAATCAAAATTACTTTGCAGTACTAAAATCATAAATTGATAAGAAAGTAACAACAGTCAGGTGAAACTTTTTTCTCGTAACTAGTATAAACAATGGGTGAAAATCCTATAAAAGTACAAAGATAAAAATTCTGTCTTTCAACCATGAAAACTTAAATAAAAACAAGGCAGCAAAGCTGTGAAATGAACAGACATAAAGCAGAAAATAATGATGTACAAAATAAGGTATTTGGTCAATAGGGTACACCAGCTCCAGAGACTCTGCCATTGGATGGCATGGAGCATTTTCGAACCTGCTCAAGTTTCACGTAATCTCCCTTGTGATTTCACACCATACATAGAGTCCAAAAGCAGCATTTATTTACAAAACATAAACTTACAATTTAATATTTTTAAGTAAATGAATACACTAATTTTCTTTACCAGAGCCCAAAATTAGCATTTATTTGCTGTACATTTTGTTTTGTAGATCATTGGGGTCAGACAAGGGGGTACACCCACTGTCAGTTTTGATATAATATTACATAATGCTTAAAGGGGGTAGGGGGGTGTAACACAGGCCTGTGCCATGTATAATACAGCCTATATCTTACTTTGGTTCATCTGTCCTCTAAGTTTGACAACATAATCATATGTTTTGATCAGTGACAGTCACCACTTAGATAAAAAAAATATATATATATAGTCTGCTTACCATGCAATGAAAACTATTTTTACTGCATTGTCACCACAATCGAAGTCAAAGACAGCATATCTTCCCTCCCCTGGTTTTTCTTGTAACTTTTTTAAGAAGTCATCGTAATGCTCCTCTGGAATGAAACAAAACTTGTAATATAAATAAGTATTATTATATTATACATTATGTTATAAGATAATTATAAATTATATAAGTAATAAAATATTTCTATTTTCTCAAAACATAAAGCTACTAATAATGTCAGATCTTTTAGTAACCTGAACACATTTTATTCCATTTGTTGTCATAATAGTTGTTTTATCACAAAAACAAAACAATGTTTTACCTTGTGACTTATCTGCACCTGAAATGAAAAAAAAACAACATATATATATACATAATATATATTAAATGTTGACATGACATATATATTTTGTCCTCATTGATTGTATGTGAAAACAGCACTTTTCAATGGGTGAAAATACATACTTTTTTAAAAATCAAACCAATGATAACCTGGGCAAGAAAAAAGTTTATGGAAAAAAGTTGCTTTAAAAAACTAGTGATTGAAGAAAGCCCATATACAGGCATTAAACAAAAGTTCAAAGAAACAGGTTTGGTGACATCTAGAACAGATGGATGACGAAAGAGTTCTAACATTCTTTAAATCTTTTTCAACAGTTCATTGAACACTAAAAACTTCCATACTTTTATACTTTATATGCCACAACCCTATGCATTGACAAAAATTGGATTTCACACAGGATTACACAACATCACAAAATGTACCAAAACTAAGGTAAAATTTCACCAACCACACCAATTTTGCTTTTTTTTACCTAAACAAAGCCACAAAGCAAATCTGAAAACAAATATGAGGTTAGTAACTTATAGGGCCATCGTCGCCAAATACATGCAAATAATAGTTACTGGGGAAGCGCTAACACTTTCCAATTTAGCCAAATGCTAAAACTGATTCAAATTGGCTAAATAAAATAGGGTTGGTCCGACTTGTTTTAGTCCAACTTCAACCATTGTGGAGAAAAAAAGAGGAAAAAGTAGCAATTTGGCTAAGCAAAATAAAATTGCTAGCGCTACTAGTTAATTGTCTTTTAGAAATAGCAGAGAATGTTATATATTGGACTGCACACTTACTTGGCTCTGCACAATCCACATAAATAACATCATCTTTTCCACCTTCTGGGGTACCAATTTTGAAGATTATGTACTTTAATTCATGCTTTTTCTGCAACTTTTCATACTGCTCTAGTACATTTGGCAGTATCTTTATACCCGACATGGAAGACTGGAAACAAAAAATAAATTACTAAGAGCAAAATTCTCCCCCTCAAGCTCTCACTCACTCAGAAAACAAGTTCTCACACAACTACCCTGGAAATTTTGATATATGTATCATTTGATTAATCTTGAACACAAAACACCTTTGTTTTATCAAATGCATTTATTCCAATGCAAATCTGAATATAATGTCACAAAGAAGAAATAAGTCCTATACCCCCTCCCCCTGTAAAGCCTTTCATGTCTATTAGAAATACCAATATGTACACCTTACTATGTGTGACCTTGCAGCACAGCCCACATTAAGAAACAGAGCTTCCCTTGGACATCGTGCAATACTATTAAAAGATCTGTGTGCTACAGAATTTGTTTCTGTAAAGGTGTGGTAACCCACAAGGAATATCACTGTAAAGTGAATGTCCCAAAGGGCTGCAGACATCTGTTCATTTTCTTCAAGGATCAACCCGTCTAGTCATCTTTTAATATAATTAGACATAAAAAAGTCAAAACTGGGGTTATCTTAATTTTTTCCTGAACTTAATTAATTGCCTAAATTAGAAAAAAAAAACTTTCTTTGCCAGAAGCTTGTTTGGTAACAATATATGTAAAAATCAGATTCCTGATGGGCACAAA